GACTCCAGATCCCACTCCCCCAAGGCAACCACTTGCAAACCTACTAGCTTTCATTTATGATATTATGCCCTTCTTTCTAATTATACGTTTGTTCTGGCTGGTGTTTCTTTTTGTTTCTCTCTTTACAATGGAGATAAAGCATTGGCTTCTTCATAACTGGCTCCCCTGCATGCTTCTGTAACGTCCTCTTTCATCCTGCCTACATGATCAAATCACTATGATGTTTTGAACTCAAACATTAACATCAGAAGTGTCCTCAGTATCCAGTGTTCTTGTCTCTCTTGGGTACTAGCATGATTGGAGCCTTATGTTTGGGAACTTCAGTTTTCTAGGGAGTGGTTTGTCTCTGTATTCCTTTACTCTTTCCATAAACACTGTCTTTCTTCTTCATTTTTTTTTAGATTTTTTAAAAATAATCTATTGGTTTTTAATTTTTATCTATTTATCTATCTATCTATCTACCTATCTATCTATCCATCTATTTCGTGTGGTGCTGTGGATCAGACCCAGTGCATCACATGAGCTAGGCAAGCATTCTACCACTGAGCTACAAACCCAGACCCCTTTCTTCTATGTTTTAGAATACACAGCCTCTTTGGAAATCATCTCAAACTGAAACTTTTGCAGAGCATATGAAGAGGTTGATGACTCTGGCTCCCCACGAGTCTTCAGTGGACAATACTCCTGGCTACAGAGTCAGGGTTGGGGAACAGGAGAACAATAAGAAGAGTAAGAAAGAAAGCAAAGAGTGTTACCCTCAGTTAGGAGAAGGAGTTGTCTTGCACATTAGCCTGGGTGGTGTGGAGAGCAAAAGTCTGTGTTATGGATGGGCTTGCTATCTAGCACTTAGTCAGCCAGATATTGTTGGATACCACATCATCATCCAGGTATGCCAAATGAAGTGGGCAGTGTGTGGGATTTGGAGAAAGATCTGGTTTCAGATCCATGCTAGATATGAATATGGTCAAGAATTGCTTGAGGTTTCAGAGCCTCAGTTTTCTCAGTTGTGCAAGGGGAATAAGTTCATATTAAAAGGAATGCATGCACATCAGTTTCCTGGCATATGTGCTCAGTGAAGGATAATCCTGATATTGTTAGGGTTATATAGATCTTATTTCCTCATCGGCTACATGCAGTTGGGTATGAAGCCTAGAGGAGGTAGTAAGATGGTAGAGAGAAGGTTGCTATTGGTAAGTGACAATCAGCACATATAAGCATGACCTTGCAGACACTCAAATTTAAGGACACAGTGATAAATGGAGAGAAGAAATGGTGACTCCTGGTAGGGATTATGACTCTCATAACATATCAATCACATTAACCACCATGGATCCAGGAAAAATGTCCAGACAAGGGCACCAGCCTCAGTTTCACCATAGACCATCTTTCAGAACTTGGACAAAGAGCATAGACATTAAGCTTGACATTTCTCTTCCATACCTGGAATCTACTTGCTGTTCCTTCATGCAATGCAGACTGTCAGCTGAAGAATTGCAAACACCTTTGTTCCTACGATGTAGCCCAGATGGAAGTGATTCCCACAATGTGGAAGATCAGGAGGACCCAATTTCTTTTCCCTCCTTCCCAACAATCCAGGGACTAAATGTGAGACAAAGAGAGGAGGGACCTGAGAGTCAGGATGGGAAGAGCCTGTGGGTCTCCCTCCTAGTTGGAAATGATGACAGCTGGACATGCTGCTTCCCTGGCAGTGCATACTGGAAAAGGCCTTCTGTGCTCAGAGTAGCTGAGAACTGCAAGCTGGTGAGAAACCTAGGATATAAAGCAAGCTCATGTTTCCATCTGTACTTGCTGAGGTTTAGGTTCCTATTGGAAATTCCTGCACTTGCTGCTGTGAGTGCTGGGAAATGTGGGACAGTGAGAGGAATCTGGCAATGTCATGAGGTTACAGGTCAGACATAGGTCTGCAAAAGAATCCCCACCCTGAGGGATGGGGGACTTACAGACCAGGACTGGTCACACCCTGGGACTGGGATAGGGCTGTCCAGGTATGTTTGATGGCAGTGATGTCAAGGTCCCTTATGTGGGCACCCATAGAGAGAATAAGAAATGGTTAAAACAAGGGCAAATGGAGGGAAAAAGAGAACTTGCATATCAGACCATATGGAGGTGATGGAACTTTCTATCCAAGATACCTTACCCATTCAGAGTCTACACAGGCCCCATGTAGCACGACCAGCCACACTGGTAAATTACCAAAGTTCCCTCATCTTGGGATGCCCCACAGCCCCAGGTTGGTGAGGTTGCTTGGCCACTCTCTGCTACTCCTGGCCCTGACTAATGTCACCTCTAAGGATGATCCACTCTAGTTCTTGGTTCTGGGTTGCACTTATTACAGAGCCTGCTGGACAGCGGGGCAAGGCAGAAACTGCCCATTTGTTGAATATGCCATATCCCCAACTCGTGTTTCCTTTGCTTTTAGGTCCAGCAGCGTGCATGGCGACTGGATTCACATTTATTCCTTTGTGGAGCATTTGGTGCATAAATTCAAAAAGTATGGCTTCTCCACACTGCAGGATCCTATATGCTGCAGGGAGCACTACTCTGGCAGACAGAGGACATGGCAAATACATTTTGTGGGTGTCAGAGCACCCTCATGTAGGGAGCACAGAGAGTGCCCAGGGTGCTGGTTCACAAACCACACTAGATATGTGGGGTCTCAGCAACACGGGACAAAGAGCATAGATGTTAAGCCTGACATTTCTGGGGCACAGGGCATAGTGCAGAGACACAGTCTTGCCTCCAGGACCTCACAGGCTGGGAAGAAGTCAAGACAGACAAAACAGTAAATCAGTAACTGGCCCCAGGTTTCAAAGTTCTCAGAGTCTAAAGAAAGGTACAGAGAACTAGAGTTTCCATGGAAGTTTAAAGGAAAAAGCAAGAGTGCCAGAAATCAAAAGTAGTTTTCCCCAAAGAAGGTAGAAATTTTAACTTGATCTTTAAGGATAGAGAAAAGTCAGGGTCACAGCAACCATCAAGGTGATCTCTAATGAATGTGGGGATCTGGAGACCTCTAATGATGGTGATACTGAACATGCAGGGGAGGGAGGGAAATTCAAAGCCAGGCTCAAAAATGAGGCTGTACTGATCAGCTTGGGGCCAAGTCAAGTGACTCATCATATCAGGTCAAGGGACGTAGAATTCACCCTGTGAGCCATAAGGAAGTCACGGAAGATTCATGGATTGGGGAAGACAAGATCAAGATTGTGCCTTGGGAAGAAAATTCCAATAGCTATAAGTGAAGTGATTTGGGGAAAAACAAGATACTAGGAGATCAGCCAGGGAGGCCTGTAGAAATCTTACTATGGGGTCTGAGGGTCTTGGGTTATAGGGCACTAAAGAGAGAGAAAGGGGAGGCAGGTGTGTAAATGGCTGCCAAAAAGAAGATGAACTCTTTGAGCCAGAGTGAAGTGGGCTCAAAGATACAAACAAGGTGACAGTAGAAGATAGTCCAGGTTGGTGGGCTCATGGAGGAGTGTAGATGTATCTGTCTCCATGAGTGTGGGTTGTGTGTATGTGTGTGTGTATGTGTGTGTGTGTGTGTGTGCACATGCATGTGAGTATGTGAGTGTGAGAGAGAGAGTTGGGGTGTTGGGAATACAGAGCTGAAGCAGGAAACCTTCAGCACCCTCTTTTTCCTTGGACACTTCATCTCCATAGTCTTTAGAATCCTTCACCAAATACTTCTGACCGCCCCCCTCATGTGAAATGACCCCAGGGCAGAAGAGATGGGGTGGGGATCAGGGAAATATGCACCTCCTCCCTGGCTGCTCACTGATATC